CCCCACAGCCGCCCCGAGCAGGACCCCGGGGGGGAGGGGGGGGGATATTTCTGGGTGGTGATGCCGTCCACCATCTGAAAGTTGCCAAGGTTGAGAAATCCTGATCTATGGTTACCAAGCGTAAATATGTACACTAATAAACCAAACTATGCAATATGCTAACAGAACTTAACTAAATGATTTAAATTTTTACTTTACAGTACAAAATGCTTAGCTGCTAGTTTGTGTCTCCTCCCATACTTACTTATCTTCAGCCCAGCATGCTAACAACTTCTCTCCTTAACACACTCCTGCCCCCCTGAACCACTTGCCACCAACTATAGTCCAGAACTGAATTTTTCCTTTCTGCTCGTTTTGCAGATTCCTTCTTTGGGTTCAGCTCCCACAGGTTCCTTCCCAAATCTTCTTGGCTGTGGATGGTCTGACTCTTGGCGGTCCCCGCCACCCTCCCCAATGCTCCATGCCCTGTCACTCCTACAACATCTCCTACCGAACCTAGAAGAAGACACTTGCCCCCTCCCCCATCTACCTGCCCTGGCTTCTTTTATCCTTCTTTCTTTCAAAACCTCTGTGCCAGTTTGCAGGTAATTCTTAGGAGTTTAAACTTTTTCCCCCCTTTTTCTGTAACTGCCCATGTGCCTAAGCCGTGCGCCTGACAGACTGCTACAGAGAAAAATCTTTGAACTCGACCGTTGCGCATAACATTTTTCTGTTTCAGGATTGATGATGATGATGATGATAAATGTGGCAATCCCAGGGGATAGTACAATAGATGACAAAGAATTGGAGAAGATCATAAAGTATCAAGATCTGAAAATCAATGTTGAAAGATTATGGCATAAACTGGCAGTGGTGGTTCCAGTGGTTATTGGGACACTGGGTGCCATACCAAAAAACCTTAGACAGCACTTAGAGAATCTGCACATTGACAGAATTTCCATCTGTCAATTACAAAAGGCCACACTGCTTGGATCCACACATATACTACGCCGATACATTACGGCATCCTGGGTTCTTGGGAAGAACTCAATGTGAATGAAGGCCAACGGCTAAAGAACTGGCAGCTGTGATTTCACTTGTTGAGAGGAGGAGGAGGAGGAGGAGGAGGAGGA